CGGATTAGAACCACTACACTACACTACTACACACAGCCACTGCTTGAAAGGCGGTAGGTCAAGTGGTTAAACCATTACTCTACCACTGCTTTTTATTTATTTTTAGAATTAATATTAATAAATTTATTTATGAATATTTTTTTTACAATCTTTTGTTTATTTTTATGATATTTAGTGACGGGAATAACAAATCGTGCGCCTGCAGTGCATGCAGTGGCACTCAGAGTCCTTCTCAGAGTCCCTGAGACATAAGTGGACACGTCCCGTGTGTAATTTCACCAGCATTCTTACCTTTCAAAACCGGAACGCAGTATGCTCGCAGACAGAAATAGGTAACGTGGCTTCCATAGACGAACACCTTCACAAGGAGCTCTACTATTACTAAACATTTTTTTAGTTTTGTTATGGATATTAGTTAAAAAATACAACATTACATCAGAACTTTCATTTAAATATATACATAGGATATAAAACTATGGCAAGTGTTTGTCTACTACAATCTAATTCAAACTTTATGTGAAGGTAACAAGGAAATGTCGCAGATTTCCTTCAGACGACAATTTAGAAATCGAAACTTGCTCTACTCTCCATATACATTCTATGTAATGTTTGTAAAAAACACATTCCTGTCTTGCATTGAGTTGAGTATTGTATTAAATCGTTTAAAGTTATAGTTACAAATTTAGTTATCCTTCCCATCGTACAATTTAGGTTCAACTTACAATCTCGCGTATGCAATGGAAGTGATTTTTAACCCTATTCAAAAAAAGGCGGAGGACCTGAATTTGACTGCTTTTTTGTATGTATGTTACGTAACGGCATTAGTGAATCGATTTTTATGGTTCTTTCTCTGTTGGAAAGAGGGACTTCAGTATTGGTGGCATTTAAATTTTAAGAAAATATTCCACCTCTAAGGGTGCGAAATTGGACGCAACATTATGAACTTTATGTCAAATGTGTAACGAACAAACTAAATACGATACGGTAGCAGAGAAGTGTAGCGAGAATTCTCCAGAAGACGCGCAATCTGTGTCTTCGTTTTGCACAATTGTCATAAAGTGCATTACGGTATGGCAATGTGAACTGAGTCTATACAAACAGTTCCTACAGCAGATTTGTACTCATAATGTTATGTAACACACCAGACTTATTTAAAACAAATGATAAATAAACAAGTTTTAAAAATAAACTAAACTTATTACTAATCTAATATTATTAACATTTTTTGTTTAATAATTCACCATGTAACACGATTATTGTTTCTAGGTATCATCGGTATCATTTTTCTAATTAGGTCTAACATGAAACAACTTTATTTCCCTGCAAAAACTTTGCTGGGAACTTTTTTTTCGTTTGCCTGACCACAAACGAGGACAACTAAAAGTAATTTATAGATAAAAAGGTATTTCAAATCAATCAAAATTCTACAAATTGATGACGAAGGTAACCTATCACACACTCGAATTTTTTTTCCGAAATAACTTTTGCTCGAATTTTCATTACACCGAAAACCGAATTATAACTAAACCGTTGTTCTTTCAGGATATGTTGGATGTTTATCGCAAAGACACGATTAGGTTCGGTTAGGTTAGGTTAAGTTAGGTTTAAAAGAAAAAAACATTTTCCTCTCAAAATTACTTTCGAGTTTTTGAAAATTCGAGCAAAAGTTATTTCTACAAAACTGCTGTAACAGCCACATTGGCAAACTTTCAGGGGTAATTGTAGCCACTCTTTTCAGCAGAAACGAATACTATGAAACAGAACCTTTTTCAAAATTGGTTATATAGTTATTGTACTGTTCGATAATTTGGAATTATAACTGTATTTTAATTGTTGTTGTTTTTAATCAGGTGTGCGTGTTTTTTTTAGTTTCTAACCATCTACGGCAGAATACCAGCGAGGTCAATGTGCTTCATATAGCTGAGTCATGGACCCATTTGACATCTGTATTTATTATTAATTTGCATTTATTTTTTCCTGTATTGTATTTCATGTTATATAAACAACATATTTTTATTCTTTTTTAATTTCTGAAATTGACAATTCCATCGATAAGTTCTTATTAGATGGTAGAGAGAGCTATAACAGGAAATAAATGTACTAATTTTCATCACCCACACGTACTTTTTAATGGAATGTACCTACTTACATAATTATTTTGTGGATATTTGTGTAATTTGTAATTTTTTGAGGTTGGTTTTTTTCATACTGCTTGGTGGCAGAAATAGGTAACATACGATTTACAAATATTCTATTTTAACAATATGCGTTTTTATTTAATTAAAAGGAAATTTGAATAAAAATAAACATATGGATTAGTAATGTAGATGTCTATTCGGGATTTTTCCCCATAGGAAATGCGGGATCCCGAGTTGGTAGCACGGAGAAACCATCTTTCCTGTTGAAATTAGGATGTTTTATCATAGTTTCATTCCAAATTTATTTATATTTATAAACAGAGGATTGTAGTGCCCTAATAAAGTTTATATGGGACACTATTTTCTGTAATATTCACGATGTAATAAATTATAACTTTTTATGAAAAAAAAGCAGTCTTTTAAATGCAATAGAGATGCACTGTTTGAACATTTGTTGCGTAAGGACGAATTAGTGATAATTGAGGGGAGGTCGAGACCAAGAATGGCGTATAGCGAACAAATAACAAAGAAGATTAAAGTGAACAGCTATAGAGAGGTCAAAGAACTGCCTATGAACCGTGAAGAGTGGAGAAGGCTACACCGAAAAGAGTCTAGCTCTTAAATAAGATGATGATGAAAAAAAACCAACTTCAACTTCAACGGATTCTGGAATTACATCATTTGCAGAGTTTTCTTGAAATCGGTTAACGGAAAGTGGTGGTAGAAACGCAATAAATCATCAGGGGATTCATCCCCTAATTTGCAACCTTAGTAACAAAAAAAGAATTATCAAAATCGGTTTATAAACGTCGGAGTATTTGCATAACATATACAAAAAACTATATTTACTAAAAAAAGGTTGACAATGGTGTACCAATAAGTTCATTTAGCTGTTGTAGCCCACTTTACATACTACATTAAATACACGTAACAACATAATAATAACTTGTTAACTAATATATTAAACCAGACCACAAAGCGGCCAACGGAACGCCATTGAGTGAAAGTATAACATAAAATGTGTAACCGATAATATGTAATACGGCCTTAAGTCAAATTAAAAAATAAATAAACGAAGAATATAACTGACAATTAGAATAATTACCGAGTCGCAAACTAATAGGTACATTTCATTTCTGAACCGAGTCACTCCCGACTTCATGTTAACATTGACATTTAATCTATTCAGCAAAATCGTTATCATCAAGTTACACGTTTCCACAGCAGGACATAAGGGCACGCCAATTCTCCCGGTCCTGCGCCGCCTGTTTCCAGCCGCTGCCGGTCACCTTTCTCGGCTCCTCCATTCATCTTACGTTTGCTATTTCTGCCATCACGAATGAATTAATCTTAAAGACGTAGTTTCATGTAGCTGCTCATAGCAGTAGAGCTCCTTGTGAAAGAGGTCGTCCAAGGACGTACTACCACCTTACCTATTTCTGCCGATAAGCAGTAATAAGTAAGTGATATTTCTTTTTAGTGTAGCCGTTTTTATGGTCAACTCACACTTGACCTATTTGGTAATTGACTATATTATAGGAAATGAAACTATTTTTCCGGATTTAAATCGGGTATATTTGTTTTTTCAAACAAACCGACGTTTCGAGCCCTTTACAGGTCCCATGGTCACGGTTGGCTGAGGTGGTACAGTCTTCAACCAGTTATGTCTAATATTGATGCACATCACCCTATTTTTAACCGACTTCAAAAAAGGAGGAGGTTCTCAATTCGACTGTATGTTTTTTTTTTTTTGTATGTATGTTACGCGATAACTCCGGTATTTGTGAACCGATTTTGATGATTCTTTTTTTGTTGGAAAGAGGGTAACTCGGATGTGGTCCCATTTCAATTTCAAGGAAATATTCCACCTCTAAGGGTGGCTGTTCACGTATGAAGATTTATTATACAAATAGCGCCTAAATTTTATACGGAGCAATTGTTTTAACGGTTGATTTTACTATGCGAGTACTTTAAGCAGTGAACACCAATTTTTTTATTCTCCTATGTTAAGTCCCGTGCACGGAAATAAGTGAACTTAACTGCTAGTCGTCAAGGTCGTGGATATAGGCTGGTGAAGATGTACATAGCCCTTTTAGTATGTTTCACGACAAAGGCTATCCACATTCAACTGGTTGGTGACTTGACAAGCAATCATTTGTTGGTGCTTACAACGACCTTTCAAAATTTTTTTTAAGTAATTGTGATTCGTAGTCGTCGGAGGCCACCAATGAAGAAATAAATTTCTATTTGTTTTAACCGATTTCAAAAAAAAGGAGGAGGTTCTTTCTTCTACTGTATTGTAATATGTATGTTCCACAATAACTCCAGCATTTGTGAACCGATTTTTAACCGACTTCAAAAAAAGGACGTGGTTCTCAATTCGACAGTAAGTTTTTTTTTCATGATTCGTTTTTGTTGGAAAGATGGTACCCCAGCATTGGTCCCATTTGAATTTCAAAAAATGGTACCCCAGCATTGGTCCCATTTGAATTTGAAGAAAATATTTCACCCCTAAGGGTGATAAACTAGGGTGATGAATCCGGTTTCGGGCACTTTCCGTTAACCGATTGTAATAAAACTTGGCACATAGGTGTAATAACAAAGGAAATAAAATGTTATGGTCATCTAAAGTTGATATGATGATGGAAGTGGCAAACGGATGAGAGGAACTCCTCAATAGTGTACAATAACTACATTGTGTCTGGGCTCATATGATTCGATCGAGGACTACCTGCTTTTAAATTTTCCTGCTTTTGCTTCCTCAAGCCATGGAACGAACACAACGAAAACGGGGTACTAGCAGCAAGACAGATCTTAATATTTCTATGGAACTGTCATTTGAGGTATTAATACAAATCAAAACTAGTATTTGGAGAGATTACGCAGCCTCGTCATTTCGGTCAAAGCTTTTTCGTCATGGGGTCGACTTAATAATTTATTTGCATCCAAATCAGACAAGACTATGCCTTCTAAAGTTTTTACCCGACTGAGGGCCACATAAATTTGTCCTTTTGCAAAATTCTTTTTTCCTAAATCGATCACTGCTTTATCAAGGGTGGTACCTTGTAATTTATGGACAGTTACTGCCCAGCTTAAGATGAGGGGTAACATTCTGCGCTCGACATCTCCATATCCTTTTTGTGCTTGAAATTTTGTGCAAACAGGTGAAACGGCTACGCAACCGTCATCATCTTTCATTCTTAATCCAATAGTCGCGTCATCAAATTTTATAAGTACAGCTTCAGGTAACTCGCCTTCCTCCATTTGATCTCTTCGGAGAGCCGGCCATATAATTTTTTTAACAATACCCATAGCTCCATTCACAAGCCCATCGGATACGGAAATATTACGCCTTAACATAACTCGCGATTCGACACCCAAATTAATAGTTGGTAGAAAACCACCGCAGTTATTGATGTCTTTAGGAATAACATTGTCTGGTGGCTTTCTGCCATACGTTGCCGCCTCACGAGACTCGTCTACAGCATTTATTCTGTACGTACGGTGTACCTTGGCATTTTCAGTTGTCATTTTTTCATTATATGTGTCAACTTGTCTAAGAGTGGGGAATATACGGACAGCAACTCCATCAGCGAAGTCACCTGATATAGGAATGTGTCGCCGCTCACAAAGCAACTCCAGCTGAGCCGTCGTTAATTCTCCAACCCGCAAGCTATTCAAAAGATGAATGAACTCAATGTCATTTTGTTGACGCATATTTAACGTAAGTTCGCAAAATGAGAATTGCTGCCATAAGTTAACTTCTGCAGAAAACCACGGTGGTTGAATAAAACACCAATGCCCTTTTACAGGTGGGAGTTGAAGTATGTCACCAAAAAGCAATATATGTAACCCGCCGAATAATTTGTCATTATTTTTATATTCTTGGAGACGCAAGTGTATAATTCGCAAATTTTCGTATGAAACCATAGATATCTCATCTATGATTAGCCAGTTTATATGACGCCATTTACGTCTTTCATTCTCTAACTTTTGACCAACAATTTTTTTTGTATGTCATGGTATTTCGTTTTTCAATCGGTAGTGAGAATATTGAGTGTAACGTTTTGCCAAATATTTGACGTGCGGCCACTCCTGTTAAAGATCCGACTTCAACAAATTTCGCATTAAGCAATATGTCAACAGTAGGTGCGTAACACCGTTTGATGTGTTCCACAAGTAATTTTAAGACGAAGGACTTCCCACTTCCTGCACCACCAGTTACAAATAACAACAATTGGCCTTCTTGTCCATGCAAATCACTCTCGACAGCTGCAGAAACTTTTTGGAAAAGATCTTTTTGTTGAACGTTTAACCCTCGAATATTACCCAGGAACATTTCGTCTGGCATTGCGGATCTGTCGCATACATCTTCGCAATAATTGTCATCGTTATTCACGACTTGTTCCCCGCCACAAACTAAAGGAGCATTAATATGACGTGTATCGCGGGCAACGTTGAGTGCAACTGCTTGAGCAAGTGCCTGTTGTATCATTTGTTCTGCGTGAGCAAACTCTACTGCACTTGCGTTGCCCTGTAATGGTCGAAGTTCTCTTTGCCGCCTAATGAAACACTCCTCAGCGGTTTCCTCTTCGAGAAGTAGTTCACTTTCATCACGGAATGGTACATGACATACTAACAAGCTGTAATAATAAGATTCTTTGTCACTGTTTATCGTAAAGTATCGTGTACGCAAAACTGCCGACTTATTTCTTATACGCATCCGCGTGTTGTCTCTTAGTCGTATAAATTTTGCCGGCGTAACATCTTCAGACCTTAACTCTTCATCACCATCGTCTTCGCTCCACGTTGAATTAGATACTGTTTCAAATCGCACAGCAAATTCAGCAAGACTTAAGTTTTCCAGTTCGTTTGGGCGTAATACATATCGGTCAAAAATATTATTGTAAATGGATGTATCGTCACTGTCGAATCGTAGAAGTCTAAAACGTTCGTTTGGCTTACAGCTATTTACAAACACTGTTTTTCGAGAACACATTTTTAACGGTAAATGGCACAATCTGTATGCACATTCAGGAGCACTTACAAGGCGTTGAGATAGAATGGCCATTGAGACTGCGAATAACTGACTCCACACAGGACCACCATGTCTCTTGGCCTTCGCAACGGCTTCTCGTACAACTTCACCAGTATCATGGGGCTCACATTTGCTTGCATATTTAGCAACATAATATGCAACTGCTGTTACGTTCCCACACGGCTGCACATCAATGTTTCCTTCCCATAGACTCAAAAGAACAGGACTGAAATTGTTCACCATGCTTTCGTCTGCAGTTCTTTTCAAACAACAAAATCTGCCATTATTTGATAATACTTCATCAGGACCTAAGCAAACAGTAGCCTCACATGGTGGCCGCGGAAAACCAAAACGACAACACCTATCGTTGCGGTTTTTGTAACAAGTGGCGGTGTGTTTGTGTATTTGTACATCTTCTACTAATTTCTGCAATTCTGGGTCATTGAACTTCAATGAACATGAAACAACCCTTTCAATGACTTGGACCCCCTCCTGGGTAGAGAAATCTGGGATATTGTCACACCACACCAACATATGAAGATGTGGGCTTCCACGATTTTGGAACTCGATTCTATACCAAAAATCCACAACTGGACCACCTAAACAGTGTACGTCGCGTTTAAGGAATCGCATGAGAACATTCACCCGCACTGTAAATTGTCGAGCGATAACTACGGGATGTTTTTGTACCAATTGCAAACGCTCGGGAAAAGACAAACTCTCTGCTTCATTTATATCACGACCATCTGCGACAAGTAAAGCCTTGATCATATCGGGCCAATTTAGGTCATTGCAAGAGAATGTCATAAACCACGTAGGAGGCCCTAAAGTTCGGACCATTGCAATGAGTTCTGAGCAACATTTCTGCCAATAAGACGCTGATCCTCTGATGTTCCTCATTGTGAGATGCATGTTATCAATGAGTCCCTGAGGTGTATGCTCATTTTGACCCTGACGCATCCTGCATGATACGGACACACTGGATTTTGCTCGATAATATTCAACTAAGGAAAGAGCAAAAAACATATAATCGTTTCGATTAAATCTCTTATCCACACTCATTACTCGGCTTTGAAAATAATCTAAAGGTGTAATTTGAACTTGTCTTTCTTCTCCAAAACCATTTTTTCCATCAGGAAAAAGAAAATACCAAGCAAGCTCTTCCGTTCGTCGCTCTCGATCCACATTTAAAGGCGGCGCTGTTTTTCTTGTTATCTCAGCTAGTCTTATCTCGTTATTGTCGGTAGTAGGATTGACATTCAAAGAAACTATACTATCCAGATTAGGCACCGCTTCGTCTATGCAACAGAGCATACTTGTGGTTTCAACTATGGTGGCAATTGTACTAAGCTGTAGGAGTGATAGCTGTCTTTCTTTTACCTGAGTTGAGATTGGCTGAGACGTTTGTTGGGGAATGTTGCTGTTTTCTAATGTAGGACTCTCTGACTGAACTGCCCTAGAGTGTCTCTGGGTATGATTATTTAGTTGAGTTCCCGTCGTTTCTCTGTGGATTTCTATTTGGTTTTCCGGCGTTATATATAAAGGAGTTAGTGAGTACACATTAAGACTGAGTATGACATTATCTTGCGCTGGCCCTTTCTTTGTTGTTGTGGAGTACAAATTGCGGCGCATTATGTCATGTAACTCATCTAAGTCTTGAAATCTCATGCAACAAGCTGTACCTCGTCTTGGTGCTTTAGCTCCCTTAGGGCCACGTGCATGTGAATCGAATAACCAATATTTATGAGTATTATTTTGACCATCACAATATATCGCCACCGTTATGCCATTTGCAGTAAGCAACCCGCAGCAGTTCTCTATGAAAAACAATAGTAGAGCATTTTTTAGGTTAGGGAAGCCGTCACAACTTCGATCGGTATCTATGTGGCCATTATAATTTGTTTCAACAACTGAAATGTTAATTTTTTTTCTATTATATAGTATTTGTTGTGCAAGATCACTCGCAGCAAGATATTCAGGGTTAATTTCTCCCGCTGCGGGGTTTTCTCTAGTAGTAATGGACTCACGATAAAGCTTGTCCCCAAGTATGACTATGTAATCAATGTCACTGTTAGTCCACTGCTCTGGTACATCCGTATAAAATGCTGCACAAGCGACAGCCGCTATAGCAGTGCATTGCTTGCCACGAGATTCTGAATCAAATCTTAAATCACCTTGATGAAATGATCCACGCAATATAGAAACGTTTTCACTTAAATCAACGTAATTGTTTCCAGAAGAAAATGATTTGTCATGTGTGACATTGTCTTCAGCAATTTGAGCCATTTCGGAAATGTCTATAACATTTTCAAAATAGGGTGTTATATCTCTATACAGTACATTGTTAGATATTAACCATGTTAGAGCTCGACGTAATCTGTTCATATCTACAACAAACTCTTGAGAGCGTTGCAAGTTCTCTAGACTTTCCACAACCAGAACTAATCCTGCTTGATTTGGTGCAAGTGGCAGTTGTTCTGCGACTTCAACAACGTCTTTTGCAAACAAAATGACTTGTCCCTTGCACCAGTCTTGACAGAAACGATTTTGTAGCTTTATTATTTTAAGAAACGGTACCACTCGGCATAAAAACCGTTCCTCAAGTTTCGTTAAATCACTTAGCTCTTGAGGTACACTAGCGACGGACATTTTGTTCCAAAAGGCTGCCGGCGGAATTTTACGCTTTCTAATATTATTTTGACAGCGCGAGCATGTTATAATATTACCCAAAGAAATTAATTGTTCTGGTAATAAGGAAGTATACATTGCAGTATGTAAATTACAACGTTGTTGTGGATATAACGCTTTATTACAAACGGC